GGATCGGAACTTTGTTATACACTGTCAAAGGCTTGGGGAAGGCAATGCTGCTGTATCAATAGAGACTGTCTTCAATGGGAATGTGGTCGCTATTGAACGAGGAGAGATGGTCGTCGGGGTATGTTGTTGTTGCCTTGAAAAATCTTCAGAAGAAAGCAGATGTTAGCGACAACACAAGTGTGACGCATGTTCCCTCCGTGGATCTTAAGAACCGTGCTACATGGATTCAGGCAAAGGTGTTTCTAAACAACCCCGAGGGGGAGGTGGTAGTTGAGGGCTTAGCCACAGTTGTCGGTCCAAGAGATGCGGTTGCTAATCAAGAATTGGGCTGGGATGATATTGGAGTTGTGATTTTAGAGGTTGTTGGCACAGAAGAAAACAGTCTAACTATTGGAAGCATTGTGCGGTGGAAATTGAGGCATTTAGTGTTTGAGAATGTGAAGGATTCACAATCAAACACCACTACAACTGATGACAGAACATCTCTTCATGGGAAAAGAAAGTACACCTTCCTAAAGCGCAGCCAAAGGGATCTGAGCAACGAACCGAAAAGGCAGAAAATGGCGATGGAGGTTCGAATGGTCTCGACAGTTGCTTGTTGCAAGAGGAGGTGCTGTCAACATGCTGATTGGGATGCTATTGAAGAGGAGAGAGCAAGATACAAGACATTGTCCTGGAAGGCAGCTCGCAATTTTGTGTATGAGGCATTACGGTCATCTGTTGATGCTTCAGAACATTAGGTGGGGGGCATGGTCTTCCAGAGGGGTTTGGTCTACATGAAGGCATAGAGAATCATTTATGGAGTCCCTCAAACCACATTCTACAGAATCAAAACTGAGTTCGAGGAACAAAGGGTTCAACAGGCAGTCCATGGGAACGACGGTACGCACAAAACCAGAGGTCATGTTGTATATGGAGAAGCAATCTTCAAGAGGTTTATTGAGACATGTAGCGAGCAGCAACCACATAAAACCCGCCTCTTGGAAGATGGAACACGAGACACCCAACGAGTTCTCCCTTCCATGTATACCAAGGGGGCCATATTGGAAGATGTGAATTGGGAACTCCAGAGTAATGGCTACATGAAGCTGAGCCAATCTAGATTTAGTAGATTGTGGAGCAACAAGTTCAGGGATGTGAGTATAGGAAAGTACTCCAGCTTTTCAAAGTGTGACGAATGCACTACTATCAAAATGGCTTTGTCAAAGAATTCTTGCATCGCTCAAGAGCGAGAGACGTTGGTTAGAAGGCGGCTCGACCACAACATCGAGCAGAGAAGCTGCAGGACTGCATATTATCATAACAGGATTCTCTCCATGGAGAGACCTGATTCTTACCTCTGCATCATCCACGACAAAATGGACCAGAAAAAGACGTGCTTACCTCAACTCAATCCTGCCCCCAAGGCAATCTCTTCATCCATGCAGCTGCCTGTGTCTCTGTTTGGCATAATCACTCATGGGCATGGTGCCCAGAACTATGGGAACTTCTTTGTACCTCTATAGGGTGGCGGGGGTGCAAACATGATGATTGTGTCCCTAACAAAACACTTAAGGTCTCTGCAAAGTGCGCAGACTGAGCTGAACGGCCAACCCTTGCATAAGGCCCTTGTCAATTGAACCCCATACAGGGTTCAGCTGGAGGAGGAGCAAAGGCTTGCAGTATCGCATGGGGCCCCATGCCATCCCAGTGAATATGTTGGCCGTCAGATTGTAGGGTTATCACGTGAGGCCTCATGCCATTCCGACGAGGCTAGTCGCCCGGTGAATGCACAGCCTCATCCAAACGAAGCAGAATCTCAAGGAAGTTCTTGCGGCCGATATGGCCTTCCACCCCATCTTCTGCTCCAAACAGACAATGCTGGCAGTGAGAACAAAAACATGTACGTCTTCGCGTACTTGGCGATGCTTGTTGCCAAAGGCATATTTGAAACGGTTACACTTGGCTTTCTCATGGTTGGGCACACTCATGAAGACGTCGATGCCATGTTCAGTCACCTGGCAGAGTCCCTCCGGCGATCCAATGTCCTCACCCTCCCACAACTCTACGATGAATTCCAAAATTGCATCAAAGGCACTGTTGAAGCTGCACTTGTGACAGAGGTTCCAGACTTTAAGGGGTTTGTAAGAGGCTACATCAGGGACGGATCCGAAATGCTGATTGGCCACTCCAAGCCTCTTCAGTTTGATTTCAGCATGCGTGACGGTGCTCCAGTGATGAGGTACAAGATGAGAGAATGGGACACAGTGTGGTTGCCAGTGGACGGCATTGAACTCTTCAAGAGAGATCCCATAACTGGGGAACCTATGATTCCTCAGGGTTCCCCACGGCCGATGCACCCGGATGGACTCAAAGACCAGGAAAGTATAGTGGCCGGGATTAGACAGCATATTGCCTTCTGGAAGAGGGGGTTGGTGTTTGGTGGAGAATCCTATTTTCAGAGGTGCAAGCCTTTGCTCGAATACTGGGAGAAGATTATATCTGCTATCCAAAATGGGCCGGTTGTATATGAAGAATTGGAAGAGTCCTTTTGGCTAGAACCCAGAGCACCAGATAGTAGCGGAACAATGTCCTCTGGAAATACAGTGACAGATAACGATGTTGAGGATCACTATTGTGCGCCGAGGAACAAGAAGCCGGATTCAACATTCAATCCAGTACAGGTCTGCAAAGGAATGGTCGTGCTTGTCAGACCCAGTAATAAAAAACAAATGATATGGGTGGGGTGCTGCATCACTGATGCAGAGGAGGACGCGGAAACTAACTCCTTCAATGTAACTGTGGAGTGGTTCAAGCCAAGTTCTGGATATACGAAAGATTGCCTAGAAAAGAGATGGGTGCTGAATCCAAGGGATCCCAGCATGAGCATATCAGTGGATAATGTTGTGCATGGTTGGATGCGGAAGCAAAGTGCCACCATCACCTTGCCAGACCATGCAAGAGATGCAGCAAGAGCATTCATAACCCGGGTTCAAGGTGAGATTCATTAATATTCCTTTACTAAGTTTCTAATGTATTTTATTTCAAGGTGAACAATCCGAATCTGAATCAGAGGAGGCGTGATGGCATGTGGCCTTACGCCATTCCTAGGTGAGATGATACAAATAACAAGTATAAATTCTTAGTTGTTCTAGCAAATCTTACTTAAAGTTCAAGGTGAACAAGCCGAATATGAATTCATCGGATTGTTATAACAAATTGCGTGGTGATGGCATGAGGCGATATGCCATTTGAGAGTGGTAGCCATTCCTATATGAGGTGAGTGAAATATTTATTAGAAATACCTCATTCAATTGTGCACTTCTAAGTCTTGGTCCACTCAGTACTATTTGCATGTTTCTATTTTAATTCTTTCTCTAAAATGTTATTTAGCATGTGGCTTCATGCCATTGCTCTCCACAATCATGCATTGAATTTTTCTATCCTTGCATAATACTTCTCCATATATATAGCATGTGCGCACATGTGATATGGTTCATTAGGCCTGATATAGTGTGTGAGGTAAAACAAAGATGATGTGACATATGCATTTACCAATCACACGTGCATAAATCTAATAATATGGCATGTGGCCCATATTAATGGCACATAAACCCATATTGTAGGCTTACGTGCTTTATGTACCATCATTCCCTTGCAGCGTGTGTGTTGGTTTCCTTTTATAACACAACAAACTCCATATTTTAGGGTGAAGAGCATTCTCATGGCAAGCACAAAATCTGTAAGTGAGGCAGAAAAGGAGACGAAGAAGGAGATAGGTGAAGATGTAGAATATATAAGTCTTCTAAACTCCCCGTACTATACTCCAGGTGATCATTTTTCTGAACAAACGGCAATATTAACAACTATCAAAAACGCCTCAGTAACGTTAAAGACAACAATCCAAAGCAAAACAACTGACCCGGAGAAGGATGATAGTACCGCTGAGAGTACCAAAAAGGAGGTGTCCACTAGCGCTTAGGCTTATAATGGCGTGTGCCCTCATGCCATTTACTTGATCACCAAATACCTTTTTCCCTTTGCACTAGTATATCTTAATACCGGTCTGAGAAATAGAATGGCATGTGCCCTCAGGCCTTTTACTAAATCACCTTTGAAAGAAATGCAAGCCTCTATGTCGTAAAAAAAAGGTACAAGAGAAATTCCTTAATAATATGAATGTTATTTAGTTTCATGAAAATACACTAAGGGTCAAATGAGTTAAATGACTTCTCCAGACTAGCAATGTCTCTTGCTACACCTTCACAATTAAATTCGTTAGAAAAAGATAACATTGAATAATATCTAAATGTTCTCACCATTAAGTTATATGTCTGGCTAATAGGAATGACGTTCATCTTGGAAAGCTCACCACACGCTCAATGAACAAACAAATAGTGTGTGCGCGCATGCCATCGCTCTTCTTTAGCTTCAGATTCGGCTTGTTCACCTTGCCAATGAGATTTATTATACAACCAGATGGACTCAATCTGGACACAAAGTCACCGCGCTAGTCACCATGCCCCAGATATGTCTAGCCCCTGGACAAAAAACATATAATTTCACGAAAGTATCATATCATTTTCAAATACTTGAAAATTTGTACCTAGTCCCATTTTACTGAATAAATCCTACTTTAACGAAATAGAGCTTTTTATCACTGCCCTGCTGCATCCCAAGAAGTCCCCTGCTGATCTGCCGCTCGATCCTCTATAACAAACCCCTCCCTGCCACGTCAGATCTCCTTGCTGAGTCATCCCTCCACATGTTCTGCCTCACTTTGTTATACGGGCTCGTTATTGGCTGCTATAGCTATAGCGGTTCTTCCCCCCGATAAAATGGAGACGCTTCCACGCGTTTCCCCTTGTAGTCTTAGTGGTCTCCTACCTCATTTCTGATATAGAACGTCTGCTTTGCCATGCCCTCAGCCATTGCTGCGTCACTATTTAGCATCCTAGTTACTCGAATCAATGCTGCCCAGTACTGTTGCACGGACTCACCTCTCTTGAATTTGCGATCCCTCATCGTGAGGAAGGCACGTTCAGCAGGCTGTCCAAGCTGGAAGAGGCAGCAGCCACGTTGAATTGCCTCCACCCAAGATTCCTCTTCAACTCCACTCCGATGGGCCATAAAAAGTCATTGTGCTTCCCCTTCCAGGGCCATGCATAATCTATCTCCCTGCCACTTTGTTGTTGTGTGCTGCACACTCGAAAATCTTCAAATAGAGCTCAAAGTCTTCTCCCATTTTGTATATAGGATACTTGACGTGAGCCAATGACGAAACTTCACCAGTTCGAAAAGTACCAGATTCTTTGCAGCTTAAAGGAGAGCCGAGAGCTTTTTCATGATCAAGTCTCTACTCCAAAAGGCTCAACTTGGAAGTGTTCTTGTCACCGCTAGGAGCAGTGTTCTGTGAGACGAGCTTTGACAACTGTAGTTTTGTGATCTTTTGTTGTTCGTTTGCAGCAACTTGGAGCTCAACCAAGAGTCTATTTGTGATTTGTCCCTTGAGAAACTGCAAAATTTCTGAGCTACTCTTTCCAGTTGCACAAACAAGGAACACGAAGCCAAATTTTTTTGATTCGTAGAGCTGATTCCACTCGGCTAGATCCTTGAGTGCTCGATCATTTGCACTGCTCAATGCTGTAGCTTGCTCCTCGGCACACCAGTCTATTGTGGACTTGCTGCTGAGCACTCCAATCCTTAGATGAGCTCTAAAAGCTTCTAGCCATCCAGGAACATCCACCTGATTCCACCATATCTGCCGCGACATCTCGATCGCCTTGGTGAGATTCTTGAAAGGCCTGACCTTGGCCATCTCTTTGGCGAATTTGGAGCTGCCGCAGCATGCTATCCAATCACTCTCGGAGAAATGCATTGCGACAGCCTAGCCAAAATTTCTGAAATAGCTGAAACTTCTGGGTAGAAAAGCTCCTTTCTCGTTGTAGCATTTCCGCTACTACTAATCGCCGTGTGACCTGGGGGTCCTTCAAGAGTGCAACGTCAGCATTCTCCAGCAGCCTCTCAGTGGTCGCCTCCACTCGTGGTTCTTCAGACAGCCGGTCAGACGCATCCTCCCTTTCCCAGAGCGGAGTGGAGCATTTGAGTCCCCTTCGTGGCCAGATGCCCGTCCTCATGACAGCGAAGATGCCATGCTTTCAGTTCATGCCAGACGAGAAAGGTGCCATGGCCCAAGCACGTCACTAGCACCAAGGGTAGATCACCAAGATCCCCCCACCATTGGCTACCTCGGCTCAGCTCATTCCTCAACGCTTAGGGTAGATCACCAAGATCCCCCCACCACTGGCCTCCTCGGCTCAGCTCATTCCTAGCACCTAGGGTAGATCTCCAAGATCCCCCCCACCATTGGCCTCCTCGGCTCAGCTCATTTCTCAACCCTTGGCTGGATGTATGGTGGCTCCAACCTTTGGATGCCATGCCTTGTGACCAAACCTCTTGGTCACACTGGCTGTCCTAGCCAAGAAAGTCCTTTTGGCCATGTGTGTCCTCCACACAGGCATGTTACTACGCAAGCCCTCATGTTCAAAATTTTAGTCATGCCAGAAATGGAATTGAAAAGGCTCTAGTATGCCTGGCCTAGATGTGATGAGTTGCCCCTCATCTCCACCATAAAATGGGCGTAAGCCTAGGCGAGGCTTATTGGATTCCACACTAGGTCAAAGCCCTTATTGTGCTCAGATCTTGATTGCCCTTGCTCGTCACGCCGTTCCCAAGCCCATCCTCCCCCCAGCCCTAGCTCCCGCCATGTCCTTTATCGCTACCCTGCTGCATCCCAAGAAGTCCCCCGCTGATCTGCCGCCCGATCCTCTATAACAAACCCCTCCCCGCCACATCAGATCTCCTTGCCGAGTCATCCCTCCACGTGTTCTGCCTCACTTTGTTATACGGGCTCGTTATTGGCCACTACAACGAACATCATTATGTTCAGGCCAATCTCTACATTATGTAGATATGCCAAATGAGCAAATGTAGACACTTTCCATAATTAGCATTTGAGACTGAATTGAGACTAACACAAAGGGCATGATAATGAGGGTGTTTGGCAGACACGGTAAGCTATCATTTATCGAATATTGAGGGACCAATCTCAATATTGCAAGGGTTCCCAACACTAGCAAGTGCAAGTCAATGAATGAGTTTCTCTAACCAGGTCAAGTATGCTTGACTAAATAGACACTTAGGAATTCCTTCCTTATGCTCATCTAGTCAAGTGCACACGCGAGGACCAGTTTCTCAACTAGCTTAGGTAGAGACTGATAACAAGTCCAGCAATACCGACCTCCTGCCGTCATGGCAGTAAGGAAAGAGTGTCTGTAAGGACTAGTCGATAGGTAACTTTTGATACCCGAAGTCATATTCGCGACACTCTCCCCCCCTTGGGGAAAATCAACGTCCTCGTCGATGCATACTTGAGTCTAGAATACCGCCAAGGAAACAACTCTAGAAAAATTTCACGGGATTCACACTATGTGAGAAATGCACCAACTTAAATGAGTTACGGGGCAACCTCTTTGTCTAACGCAGAGGCGCTACCAGCTCAGACACCTTCCGGTCGTTACCGACAAGGAAATGACCAACGGAGTCAACCACCCTTGCTGCTCTGGGTGTCACCCAGCTACAAAAGTGTGATATGCCCCTGCCCACAAGGACATAGAGAGAGAAGCTAGAGGCCCCAACCCTCTTGAGCAAAGAAACCAGACCTGTCAGTAAGGTTTAGATAGACTACTATCAACAGGCAGTTAGAGTTGTTTACACGGCCACGCCCTTTGAACAGAATAAAGAACATCGATAAAGAGGCGGGTTATGTGACTAGTCGACAGTAGTTACTCCATGACTAGAGATTTCAACATGCACACGAAGTGCCGAAGCCAGTCTGCCTATACTGGCCCAAACTCAAAGATTAATATATGGACTATATCAAAGTTAGACAATGATATCTTAAAGATTTAATTAACAATGAATAAAGCTTAGGTTAGAACACAAAAGTATTCCAAGTAAGTTATTATCCGATAAACCAGTATTACAGTATAGGAACCACCAAAATCACTATAGTTGGTAAATAGAGGATTGACCATTCTACAAAATTCAATAGCTAGTTTATCATCAAGGAAACGCAATGATAAAACTTAAATACCGAAGGTTGTAAACAGTATGTCAAACAACTTACCAAAGATAACTCAAAGAACACAAAGTATTATTGATTGACAAGCACAATGCTCGCGAATGTATCACCCAAAGGAAATAACATCCAAATCTATCAGAACTAACTCAAGCAACAATCTGTCAGGAATCCCCCAATTCTTGCCACATTCCTGACTCTCGCCGGATTCCTGACCTGCAGACCACATTCCTGACTCTCGAGACACTTCCCGATTCCTGAGTCTCGAGTCACATTCCTGATGATGATGTGGTGCCTCCTCGACCTCAGCTGTATTTAGGCCGTCCTCGATCCAAGAGTGGTGGAGCTTCATCAACCTATAGTATATATAGGTTAGCCTTGTTCCATTTCTCCACAATCTGAATCAACACCAGTCTAAGGCTTCTTCTTTGTTTTCACTAGCTTTTTCTCTTTGTCTTTAGCATTTTCCAGTCTTGATCTTGTTGGGGGTCTTGACAGTTTGATTCAGATTGTGGTTTTTTGCTTTTCTTTTAGCTCATTTTGATTATTTGATTGCCTTTGTCTTTTTCCCCCTTTTCTTTTCTTTCTTCTTGCCAATGGAGTCTCCAAGCCATCCTGATTTCTTTGCCGAAGTCCTTGCAAAAATCCAGTCTGAGAATACCGAGCTGAAGGCGACCCTTCTTCGCATGCAGCAGGAGCTTGCTTTACTTTCGGCTCAAGGATCCAGCAAAGTTCCTGAACCGAAGGTGAGTTTCCCGGCGAAATTTTCAGGCAAGCGTTCGGAGATTCGTGGATTTTTGAACCAAATGGAGCTGATCTTTGCACTTCAACATCGGTGGTACCCCACTCCCGAGTCTCAAATCGGCGCGATTGGGACGTTGCTCGAGGGTGCAGCTTTGTCATGGTTTTCTCCTCTTCTGGAGAAGAGCATGAAAGGGGTCGTGGTTCCGGAGCTGACGGATCTTCAATTGTTCAAAGAGAAGCTCGAAGCATGTTTTGGAGAGACGGATCAGGTTCGGGCTGCTACCACAAAGATGAGAGGTCTCTCTCAGGGGTCTCGTCCTACCTCGATCTACGCTGCAGAGTTCCAACTCCTTGCCTTGGACACTCAGTGGGATGAGTGGGCCCTGATTGACCAATTTCGTTTCGGCCTCAACAACGGTGTCAAGGATTTGTTGCTCACCATGGAGGATCCCAAGGACCTGTCGGACGCCATCAACAAAGCTGTTCGATGTGACAATCGTCTCTTTGAACGTCGTCAGGAAAGTCGCCGCGCCGCTGTTTTTCCGTCCCAGACTCAGGAATCCCAGCTTGAGTCTTCGGGGCATAGTCCTGAACCTACTACTCCGGTCCCGATGGATATTTCTGGTACTCCTCGACTCATTAGAGGGAAGTTGAGTCCTGCTGAGAGGCAACGTCGAATATCTCATAATCTTTGCCTCTACTGTGCTGATCCTAATCACAAAGCAGCTGTGTGTCCCAGGAAGCCTCCCCGATTGCTCGAGTTCACTCTGCCTCAGAGTCCACTTCTGTTGCAGTCGGGAAACGACCCTGTCCAAACAGAGTAGGAGCTGTCTGTTTGGACTCCCCAAATAAAAATCACTTTTCTTCCTTATCAAGCTCCTCACCACCTTTCATCAAAGCCACCACCAATTCCCGCAACTTCCGTGTCCCATGTCTCCTTTCTTTCACCGGACAATCAGGACTCAAGGCTTTGGCGCTACTGGACTCGGGTGCAACTTCCTGCTTCATGGACACAGACTTTGCTGCCCGACATCACGTTCCTCTTTCTCCTACCATACGGGATCTGAGGGTTGAAGGCATCGGCGGGCATTTTGTGTCTCCATCTTCTGGACTTAGGGAAACGTTGCCCGTTCGAGTACACATCGGGTCCACCGTCACCGATATCGCCTTCAACATCATCAACAGCAAGTCTTCCTTTGTGGTGCTCGGTCTTCCTTGGTTCCAACTACATCAGCCTCAGATTTGTTGGAAGGACTTACAGCTCATCTCTCCCACATCACCATCTCCCACGGCTTCCCCTGGTGTTCATCGAGTCCGAATCAGGAAAAGTTCCCTAAACTCAAGTCGGGGTTCTGTTCCTGACTCTACGCAGTTTTCATCCTCTTCTTTTTCCTCTCTTCCATCTTACACTGGACAGTATCCTCATCTCATCATTCCATTTAGTCGTACCCCTCCTCCTATCTCCACAATCACTATGAAAGAACTCCTTCATGAAGAACCTTTTTTTCTTTTTGCTTTGCATGTTTCTCCTGTCAGTCTTCCTGAGAAGTATCATGATTTTGGGGATAAGCTTTATTTCGTTAAAGTGGGAATTGTCATTATCCCACTTGTAAAATAAGGTTTCCAAACCTTTATATAGTATATAAATATAACAAAATTCAACTGCATTGAGGCACATGCCATTTTATTTTAAACAAGGAAATGTCTACTCAATCACTTCTCCTCCCCCTGCCACTGCTTCACCTCTCTCTTCTCCTTGTCATCGTCGTCCAATTTCTTTCCATCCTTTTAATATTGGCTCAGTTGCTCCGAGTCTAGGTGGAGCCCAAGTCCCCATTCAATCTTTACTTTCCCATTATTAATAAAACAACTTCGTAGACTTCCAATAACATGCTGTAACACTTCTAGTATAATGCAAATCCTCTCAAAGAATT